GCAGTAGTTATCATGCATAGTTAGCTGTTTCTACAGTGTAGCCTTTGGTTGTTAACAGTGATGTGGCTTTGACAGTCGACAGCTAAATAACAAAGAGTAAGTTTTCACAGCAGGAAGCAATTTTAGTGGTGGAGAGCTTTTGAAAAAAAAGTATTATTCTGTAGGGTTTTTTTTTTAGTTGGGTACTGCCTTTCACCCATCTCTGTGTGAGGCCATTTAGTGCTGGCCATTCCCTCAGCTGTGTTGAAGATGATATAGGACTGCTCACCTACATGTCTTCCTGCTTTCTGCCCAGCAATTCATTTTCCTTCTTCCCGAAACAAACCTGTTTTTTTGATGCTCCACTCCATTCAGCTGCTGACCCCCTGATTAATTCTGTCTCAGCTCATGCAGGTTTCTCCTGTTTGTCACAGCTTTGGGACACTAAATCAAGACTCTAAGAAAACACCAGAATAAAAATTGCCCATAAATTGCCATTCACTTGTGTCTTGTGTTCATGAAATAAGATACATGATCTAATCCTGCTTTCTACACAGACTCTGTTTCCATCCATGGTAGATGATGGATGAACTAGAACTCTGGAATCCTGACAGGAGGGCTGTTTGGTAAAGAGTTTGAAGGCTATGTAGTAAGCCCAACAGATGAATACACAGGTAGGAAAAATGGTCACAGGGTTAAGACAATTGAATTAAAAATTGGATTTTATTTCACTCTTTGTAAAATTTGCTATTATGAAGAGAGGTGACTCAAGTAATCATATTCTTCCTAACTACTATCCATGTGGTCCCCATTTTCTGTGCGTCCAGTTAACTCTAATTTGTGGAAATACTGCTCACTGTGTCTAGAGCCAAGGTCACTGGGATCTGTTCTTTGAAGAAGGAAAGTGCTAAGCACTCTGAAAGTTTTGGTTCTAAGCTTCTTTAATTGAGTGCCCAGAATACACTGGCATGTTTGAAAATATTGGCTTTTATCTTTGTTCCTCAGCAGAGAGCTGTGAAGATAAGTTCATTGATGTTTGTTAAAAAACCCCAACCAAACAACCCTCAAACACTACAATGAGAACATCACTATAGAAAACCCCATGAGGAAATTAATCATTTTGTATTCAGTGCAAGATCTGGATGCTCTGCAGTAAATAGTACATGCACCACACACTGGATGATAAGGAGTGGAGAAAATTTGAGTAGCATTCATTAAGTGAGCAACATCCATCCTGTGTGCTGAAAAAAGCAGGAGACCCATGGAAACAAAAAACATGTAATTAAAGATTGTATCATAATGTGTTTGCATAAGGGGTGAATTAATGTTGCATGGGTGATCTTAAATCTGGCATTCACTAACTTAACTTTGCAATCCAAATTGTTTGAGTTTTTTTAGAGCAAAACAAATCTCTTTTGGAGTTGGCAGGGGGAGGGCAGAAGTGTGCAGCTAGATACTAGTGTGTGCACAGCTGAACACCAGTGTGTACAGAGATGCCTGCCTAATCTGTGTTTGTGTGTGTGTCCACGTCTCAGTGCGTGTGTGTAAGGTTAGCTCGTGTTTATGCAGCTGGTTGATGATTCCCTCTGAAAATGCCTTTCTCTATTAGAAAATAAAAAATAAGGAGCAGTAACAACTGGTTTGGTTGCCTGGGTTTTAGATGCCAGGCTTTTATGTGGTGTTTTATTGTCCAAAATCTTCCTTAATAGAGCCTCTGCTTGGTTCTGAGTCACCAGAACACCCAAAATCCGCTTGACTGATGGGTCAAGTATTTGTGGGAGTTACTGTAAGATACTTTATGGGATAGGTGGCATCTTTTACGTCTCTGTTTGTAGAAGGGCTGGCATGCTGAGGATTCACCCACACCAGTATCCAAGGTGCATTGGGAAGATAAAAAATATTAGTAGATATAATTTGTTGTATCTATGTTTGGTTTGATTACTGTCTTGTGTTTGAAATCCTTTAATTAGAACCGTGAGCTGCCTCCTGAGCCTGCGGTACTCCAAGTAATACACCACCAGTACGAGTTCCTTTGGCTTCAGTAGGTGATTCGTTGCAAAGAATGAAGGCTGGAGCCCATGTAAATTAAACATCACTTGTTGGAAAGTGAAGGTCACAAAGAGAGAAACAAAATACTGAGGACCATTTCTCCCTGCTGGGTAACTGAGCTAGCGGTACAGAGCCCTAGAAACGGGAAGCGCATTGACTGGCTCAATCCCCTCCCCCACTAGATGGCACTGAACTCTTTTTCTTTAAAAGAAAAAAAAAAAAAAGAGGAAGAAGAAAAATATGGTGGAGGTCATTTTGGTGTAAAAAAAAACCACAATCGAAGAAAAGCAAATTGCAATTGGTTGTTCATTAATTCTGCCCTTCCCCCCTTCATTAGCCACCCCTCCTGTGTGTACCTTGGTAGCGGCGCTCTCTTTGCTTTTGTGTCTGAAGCTTTCTTGGAAGGTGGTGGTAGCTAAGGAAAGCCGAAACGATCCTGGGAGGGAATGGAGAGGAGACTGGCACTGTCTGTAAGATAACATCCGTGGTGAGGGCTAGCAGGCAGTGCACAGCTTGTCACAAGGAATTTGCTCTGCACAGACTCGCTGGGCTCCGCTGCTCTGTCCCATGCCTTCAGACTCTTCCCTGTGCACCCATGTACTTTAGCATTCCCTCTAGATCACTGAAATTATAACCTGCAGAAAGGATAGCCTTTCAGTTGTTTACTAAAACTGCATTTTCACTCCCCGATTCACTTAAGACTCATGAATTACCTCCCTTTGTCAAGATGCACTGAATTCACTGTAGGGAATGTGTCCAAGTGTGTGTGGAGGTGTGGGGGTTTCTTTATGCCTTTTTCTCAGCTTACACTTATCTGAGGATCCACAAGGATTGTTTTTTCACCCTGTGGTGAGGCGGGGGTGGGATGGGATGAAGAGAATTTAATAATGATCTGTTTGTTCTGGGAAGGGGCTGTCTGTAATAATCCTGGGAAGAGATAGAGGGAAGGTTCCTAATGCCTGCAGCAGGCAATATTCTGCTCCTCCTGAAAGAAAGGGAGAATGATGATGATAATGAGGGAGAGAAATGTTTAATTCTAAGAGTTAAAGTGAAGCTCATCTGAAATCCAGCACTTCCTCCTACATTTATGTGTTTAAGGTGACTTGCAGGAGGATATAGATTGCCATCTGATAAAGCTACACATGCAAGCAAAAAGTAAAAATGCATAGAAACTGCCACTGAAATGCCTTTTCAGAGAAAAAGGTAAAACCTGGAACTGCATGCCAGTGTTTGGCTTTCAAACCCATGTTTAAGAATGAAAAGAAGAACAAGTCTGGCTTCTCCAGGTAGAGAAAAAGTCCCCCTGTCCCAAACTCTCTTGCTGCCTTGGAGTGGGATGGAAAAACCTGGCACCTGGACCTACCTGGGTCCAATCAAATCTTGGATCATTGCACTGTAATTGTAATGTTTAACTAGAAAATAGATGTAGGTATGATTACGTTATGCAATTTCCCTGTCCTCTAAAGTACCTTTTGCCAATATCATGAGAAATGCAGCTCTAGTAGCTGGATCCTCCATTTTGCTCTTACCCCTAGTCTCTTCCAGTTCTTCCTAAATTGGAAGTTTAGACAGCAAACAGTTCTGTCTTCCAGTTCAGTCTAAATAGAGGATAAATGTAGCAGACTTTTGTGCTTAAATCAAAAATCCAACAATCCTATCAGCCAAAACCCACATTTGGTAAAATTATGCTTGTTCCCTGTTCTCATCCTTCAGCTGGGGACTTGATGCTAAAAATGACAGAGAAATCCAGGTGCACTCTCATCACTGTGTGGGTGCAATGCAGGAAACCTGTTTGCCATCTTCATCTTGGACCTAGCAGCTTTTTTGACCACAAACCTCTAGATTTTATCTCCAAACAGAGAAGAAGCATGGCTGCTCCGAGCCCACTATAAAATGAGATTCTTTTTATGGACTGACATGTAGCTGCTCGAGAAATCCAGTTATAGAAGTGGATCCATCTGTGCTTAACTATTTTTAAAGAACCTTAGATCCTTAAATGTTTGCCTTTATTATGAACAACAAAGGGAAGTTACTGCTAAAAAGAAAAAATAAACCAGTGTCTTGTTTCAACAAAACAATTAGTGTCACCTAGAGCTGCCTAGGTACAGTTAATATTCATAATCTAATGCTGAAAGTTTGCAACAGAGCTGTTGGTGATGCAGATGATTGCAGTGTATATGGTGTGAATGACTGACTTGCTTTTGCGAGACATCACAGTATGTTTCAAATCAGAAAGGTTTTAGTGGTAGAGATGCCCTTCCATTTTTTTGTGTTTTGATACACAAAGAGCTACCATGTCCCACCTCTGCTTTCCCCACTGGAGCAAGTACAATTTGAGTGGCTAGGCTTAAAAGCTAGCAAAATCCCAGTAGTCCCCTTTTGGAGCCAAGGGCTGTCAGCAGTCACCAGGGGCTCCAATGGAGTTCTGTGCTTATCTTCTATGCAGATGACACAACTTGGGCTTCAGGAGCCAAAAGCTGGTAGGGTCCAGCGTAGATGGAGATTTTTGCATCACTCATCCATGGAGAGGTGTCCTGCTGTGGACTTTTTGGTGCAGTAGGAGTGACCACGTTCTGTTCTATTCCTGCTGTGGAGTCATTGGTGTGTGGGATGGGGCCAACTAGGCTCCTCTGCCGATTCCAGGGTGTTGTGGTACTCATAGGTCAGGATGTGCCAGGGCAAGGGCAATGACTGTGCTTGCTTCCTTTTAAAACAGTAGTTTGGAGTCTGGAGGCTTCAGGTGCCTGGATCAGAGAAGGTCTTGAATCCAGGTTGTTTTTCAAGCTCACACTCTGTGTTATGTAGTATGTTGGGATTTTTTGGTGCAGTAAGAAACAGCTCCAGTCATCTTGGGTTTGGTTGACACAATGTAAGGGTTTGTGACCAAGAATAAGCAGGATCCAGTTAAATCCAGGTTTTACCTTTTCCCCTCCTAAGAAAGTAAGGCATCGACATTTCCTGCCTGGGAAGTGGTGCAGTTTATCTTTAAGGAGGCTAGAGAAATAAGAAATGAGCCTCACGTTGCATGGGTGACATCACTGGCTTTTGGCTCAGCGCTCTGTATGCTCGGTCTGTCTGCTTTAGCCAAGGCTGCAGGGCTCGGTGTTTGAACAAGGAAAGATTCCCAGGTGTACAGAAGATTGGATTCGCTCTTATCTGGGTTAAAAAAAAACGGTGAAATGAGATTTCTAAAGCTTGGGGACTTCAGCTCGCCTTCTGTTGCACTTGATCTCTACAAGATGGGTGAGTTATTCCCATTAGAGAGAAAGGGAGTGGAAATTTAAGGAGAAAAAAAAAAAAAACAACAAACCAAACCCAAACATGTCTGAATATATAACTGCTGATGCTGGGGATACGATGCGTATGAAGATGCTGAGCTAAAAACCTCAGCTCCAACGTGGAGATCGGGCCATATGGCAGAGAAATGGTGCAGCCCGAAAGCTGTTGACAACAGTTAGTGGCTGCTTTCCTCTTCTCCCCGCTGTAAGGTGTGTAGCTTGCTTTTTTTTCCCCCTTCCCCTGGTTTGTTTTGGTTTGATTCCCCAAGACCTCCCTCCCCTCCCCGCTCCTCAGCATCCTCGCAGCCAGCCCTAGCCCTGCCTGCCCGCCTTCATCTTGCAGATGGCTAACGTGCCGCCGTGTTAGGAAAACTGTGCTCAACACCACCACAGCCCAGCGCCGGGGAGGGAGCAAGCTCTTCAGATACCGGCTGAATAGAAGGGGGGTGCTGGGTGAGTTTGTGGGTGCGTTCGGGGGGGAAGGAAGCGAGATGCCGGGCCCGAGGACTGCTGCCGGTGCTGCCTAGCGGGAGGTGCGCGGTCGGCGGCCGGTCCCGCCGGGGCTGCGGCTGCTCCCGCCGCCCCGCAGCCCTCGGCCCGGTCCTCCCCGGTCCTGCCCGGCCCGGCCCCGGGAAGGGATCTCGGCGTTCCGCTGCCTGGATGACAGCGCAGACGAGAAAAGCAGGCGAGTGAATGGCAAGGCGAGGCTGGCGGAGAGAAGGCGAGCCAAGATGTCAGTGACTGTCAGCGAAGTCTGCTAAGGGAGGGAGAGACCTGCGCGTGCCCGCGCTCCCACAGACAGCCGGGGAGGATCTGTTCTGGCCACGATTTAAAACAGCAGCAGCAGCAACAACAGATTGCTCCCCGCCTTGCGCTCCCTCCCCTTCGACCCCGCTTTAAACCCAAGCAAGTGACGGACCGTCGAGACCATGCAGATGACGATGCTCCCGCTGAGCCACTGACAAAGAAAAGGCAAGTCACCCATTCCTGAAACCGGGATAACTGCCCGCCTGCAAGCGGGAGATCTCTGGCTGTTGAACTTTTCTGTCCTGTGGTGATGCCGTGGTGAGCCTGCTGATCTGAAAGAAAGCCATCTCTTTTGGATCCTGAGCCGGCCAGACTGAAAGAGATTAATGGAGTGATCAGCAGTAGCTGTCAGTTCTCTCCCAGGGGATACATCCCTTCAGCCCCTGTCACTCTGGTGCTTGTGGTGAGGGGAACAGGACATCTTTGTGAGGGTGGGTCACTGGCACGCTCCCCTTCGAGGTGGAAGTCTGTGTTTCTCCTCTGCAGAGCAGAAGAGGCAGATGAGACTCCAAGACTGCCACCAGGGCAGAACTTTGTAGTGGTCTCAGCATCCCTCTGCATCGTGGATGTGAGCCACGGGAGTTGGGGATGTTTGAAGCAGCCTCTGCCAAGTGACACCCAGCAGCTGCTCCAGAGGCTTTTGCGTGGTCTCTCGCTCAAGGGCTTTGCCTGTTGTGAAGATGTCCATGGTGTTTCTGTGAAGCTGAGGTATGGCTGCTGGAAGGTTACTGCTGTACGCTGGCCTCTCTTTAGCTCTGTGTGCCCTGGGCATGCTGGCTGTGGCGATCTGCTCTGACCATTGGTATGAAACTGATGCCAGGAAGCACAGAGAGAGATGCAAGAGCATCACCACCAAGAGAAATGATCCTGGCTTCATTTATAACTCCAATAACAACCTGCCTCTCAGGGCCAGCAGGTCTAGGTTAGACCGTTGGGAAGGGAAACTCCTCTTGGCAAGAAACAGGAGGCAGATCTTCGCTATGAGTGCAGTCGATGAGTGCAACAGACAGTACAACTCGACCAACATGGGGCTCTGGAGGAAATGCCACCGACAAGGATTTGACCAAGAGCTGGAGGAGCTGATTGCCAAAGGTAAGGGCTGTTTTTTTACCAAATGAACGTTTCAGCTCCCCCCCCCCCCCCCAACCTCCGAGCTGAACAGAGGCTGAACAGAGCCATTTGGGCTCGCAGATGGGAGCTGGCATCTCTAGCCAAGTACCTCTCCTTGTGGTGGGTGAACTGGCCTGCCTGTTCATCGCTTCATGAAGCATTGCCAGGGCAGATTCCCATGGGTACTCTACTGCTGAGGTGTGGGGTTTGGGAGCAAGAAGGCAGTGGGGGTGAGAGCAGACACACCCCAGAATGTCTGTCTCATGTCTCTGTCTCTCTAAGCTTAATACAATCTGCCCATCACCATGGTACCAGATTATTTTCCCCATACAAATAAAAAGTATTAATAAAGCAGGCATTGGATTATTATTTTTTAAAATATTCTTTGAACCTGGTGACTCAGGCAAAATACGTATTATTTTATTGGAGGCTACATATGTCTGTATTTCATCCTTCTCTTACTGAATGCTCCATCAGTCCCAAAATACACCATTTGCAGTGCTCACATGTAGGCTTTTTCTATCCTCAAATGGAGAGTAAACAAAGAGAAATGCTAAAGAGCAGGAGGAAACCCAGCTTGCTGTTTACACTGAGCTATGTTTTGGAATATTTTTAATGTCTACAAAACATTACATGAATTTATTAGGAGTGTTAGAAAGGAATAAATTTCTCTTGGGGTAGAGATGCATCTGTTTGCCTTTAGCATTTTTGTGCTGTTTTTTCCTGTCTTTTAGTCCTCCTTCTTCTCTTTTCCCCCAAGGTGCCAGTTGAAGGTGATGGTCAGTTTGCCTCAATGTTTCTTTAAGCCCAAGTATGGGAAGGGGACATATGCGTAAAACCCAGCCTAAACATCCTGCCGATGAAAGCTGTATGTTTTTGTGGGATGCTGAGGGTTTCAGTGGAGGATGATAGCATCTTTGCTATCCACAGCATGGTTACTCCATACAACAACATAATATTTCCCTCCCATGGTTCTGTTGCCTTCAGATGATTCCCCAGCAGTTTATTTCCATTGCAATGAAATCAGTGCTTCTTGCACTATGCAATATTTAAAAATGCTCTTTTTCTAAGTGTGTTCTCTGCCCCAAACTCCCTTCATAGCTTGTGTTAATTCCCTCTTCAGACACTGCAAGCAGAACTATTGCTCAAAGCTATTTATTCAAGAGGGATATACTTTCACGTGTTAACCAATGTATACATTTTGTTCCACGTTTTAAAAGTGAGCAGCAGAGGAGAATAGCATGGTATAGACTTGCACTGAAACAGTACAAACAGGTGGTGTATCAGGGAACTTAAATCTCTAGTTGGGATCTTGACTATGTTTATAGTCACCCTTAATGTCTAGTTGCTATTTAATGACATCTATGGAGAGAATTGGTGGCTTTGGTCCCATTTGTAATGGACAAGCAAACATGTCCAAAGCCTGGCAGCATCCTGGCACCCTGCTGCTGATTTCAGTGCAGAGGGAGGGATTCCTATTCCCTGTGTAGGTGAGGGTGCGGACGTGCTCGGCTGGCTGCAGAGGGCTGGATCGCTCTGCCACGTGTGCTCCCTGTGCTTGGGGCATAAACAAAGAACGTCAACCTTGACAGTGGGCGGACGTGTCACCAGAGCTCACCTTTGCAAGTGGAGTTTCAGTTGTTAGAGAGGTTTTGCATCTTGAAATAAGTGAGACTCGTTCCTCTTTCACCACCTGTCTTGTCCTGGGTTCAGGAACGTCCACTTCTCCTGCCAGAAACTGCTGAAATTGCCTGGCACTGTGTTACGTGCAATGGCAGCTCTGATAAGTGTTAACCATAGAGAAAATGTGGTAACTCAGGCTGAGGTGGTTAAATGCAGGAGATAGATAGTCTTTGAAAGATACTGCTGTAATCGCAGAATCACAATACTTTTAGGGTTGGAATGGACCTCTGGATATCATCTAGTCCAATCCCCCTGTGAAGACAGGGCCTTCTGTGTATGTTCATATTGTGTGTGTGAATGGGGATGTGTGTGTGTGTGTGTATGTAGTGAATTAACTCAAAATATACAGCATCTAGCTGATAGGAAGGGATTCCCAGGCTCAGGTACAGTGTGCCTTCTTGCACACGTATTCCTGGACACGTATGTCTGCAGATGGACAGGTAGCCACTTCATGGAGTAGCTGCCCCAAGATCAGAAATGCATATTGTGCACGTGGGGGACGTACGTGCAAATATCAGTGTGTGTGTCACTCCTTGCCTTCTTTAAAGGAGTTTTGATACACATTTAACAAACTTCATTGTACTTTGAGATAAATGTTAACGGAGGGAGACTTGTAACACTGAATAACATCATTGTAGTTTGTTTGATTGTCTTTTTGGGGTGAGGATCTATCTATACTATAACTCTCAACCATGATGAAGAGTCACACACAGTAACACTAATGCTATAGAAGTGTTTTCCATTGGCATCTCCAGATTAAAACACAGAAAGCAACTATAATGGCAATTTGATAAAAATGGAGTGTTTGACTTGCTCAGAAATAAAACTGGAGATACAGGATTGCTTGTCCACTTTACATTTTGTTAGATCAAAAGGAACGAATGGGTTTTACTCTCCTCTTCTAAAAAAGTAATGCAAAATACTTTTCTGTTAAAAATCCTTGTATGTTGGAATAATTGAATTAGAAGTAGCCATCTTTACATGGGTAGTTAACTAGTGTCCCTGTTCCCGCCTATGTCTGCTACTACACTGTTTCTTTATGAGCCTCAGCTGTATAACGAAGTGGAATAAGTACATTTGCCACTTAGTGCCTGATGTTGAGAACAGCTGTGAGTTCAGAATGAGGCAGGTATTCCATGTTCACCCCAACAGCACCACCTTTATTTTCAGTATTTTTGTTTCATCGCAGACGCTCATCTGGAGTTGAGAGGTTGCAGGGCAGAGCACATGTTGGGCAGGTGTGAAGACCTGCAGATGTTCTCTACCTGTAGTAATCAAATGCTTTGTCTGGGGTACATATTCCTGCACAGATGAAATCTCTCTCTGTATGAGCTCCAGGGCAAATGCCATATAAAGAGGATGTTACTGATACATACAGGCCTTTTACTCTTCTTCTTCTGCCAACTGTTAATTTAATCTAGCACACCTCTTCCAGAACTGGACAAGCTAATGCAAGTTCTGGCCCCAAATATTGTGTGTAATGCTATATGTAATTGAACGTAAATGCTATTAAGATTTATTAATTTATTTTTTAAGCTGGACAGGATCTAAGTGATCCATTTATTCTGAGACAGATCCTACATTTTTCCCAAGGCAAAACTTCCGGTATTGGGAATGGTAAGCTTGTCTATCAAAGGATAACGAAAAATGGTCATTAAGAGCCTAACTAGGTTTGCAAACACCCTGCAGTTATTCTGCTTATGAACTCTGCTGAAATTAATACAAGCTGTAGGCAATGGCTTATGGCAGGATCAGGCCCCATGGTACTCAGCAGTATTCTGATGCCAGTGGTTTAAAAAACAGTTCTTTTTTCTGGATAGGCTGGGTCACTTCTTCAATTCTGTTTTGTGTTTATTAGTTTTTACGTCCCAGCAAATAAATGAAAGCCTTTATGTTGGATTTTGCTAGAAAAATGGGAGATGTGTCACTTCAGATTTCTTATGGATGGATATAATAGACATGAATGCATATATAAAATGGTCCTATTTGTATTTCTACTATCCTTCTTTTTTTTAATATTTCCATAGAACCCACGAGTATATTTTAAGATAATGCAATTAGATAAATAGGCAATGAATTAAAACAGATTGTCACAAGTAAGTGTACTCGGAGAGAGTCAAGCAGGCATGAGGCCAAAGGCCTGAAGAATATTCTAAAGCTGCACCAAAATTAGTCAATCTCTTCTCTTTGTTATCATGAATGAAAAAAAAAAAAATCAAACCAGAAACAACAGAAATTACAGTCATTAAAGAAATTACTGGAGTTGAACACTGAAACCCAAGGCCCTGTCTTGCTGACTTTTACTCACCTGAATAATCTTTATTCCTGTAAATGGGCTACTTGGACTGAGGAAAAGCACCAAATCAAAAAGAAAGAGCTTACAAAGCTGATCCTTTGATTCTGCTTTCACATCTGATCAAGTCTTTTAGCATCTCAGGACCAGAGTTTCACTCCTGATCCCTCAGGCCTTGCAGAGTCAGGAAGTGCTGGCTCTGGATTTGCTCAGCACAATACTCTGAGCTTCTTCCAACTCTCAGGTGCCTGTCAAGTCTCCTCCATGAATTAAAATAGCCTTGCTGCTTAAGACCCCTTTGAATATAGTGTTCCCGATATCCTATCAGATCCCCTGTTTGCCTGTTTACCACTGAGTTTCTCACAAAAATGACATTCCCTCACACTACCAAAAAAATCCCACTGAACCAACCACCTCCACCACGAAGCAAGCAGAGAGCTGACATGCAGGTAAGTGTCCATTCATGGCTGGGAGAAGGCAGAGTTTATGTCCTGCTTTGACAACCACAACTCCTTGTATATGATTTACGGTGAGCCAGAAAAAAAGCTGGAAGCCACAGAGTCTGTCTGCATTTTATGGCAATGTTGCTCAGATGCTTTCCTGCGCTGGTTGAGAGGAAAACAAGAATGGAAGAAAAGGATTTACATCATTTAATTATAAAGGTACAATAAAGTAGACGAAGAAGTTGCACAATAACCAAAGTCTCTTCCATTTAGACGATTACTACTCAGAGGACCTTTCTTCTTGCTTTTGGAAGGCCGCCGGTTAAACCTGTCTGGGTTTGGATGGGGCTCTGCTGCCTGCTACTGGAATCCAATTTTATTAAATAATAAAAAAAATTACAGTGACCTTATTATTTCAATCCCTCTTTTACCTTCATTCTTCCCCCAGCATCCACAGAAATCATAGTAAATCCTATTTTTAAAATATTTTATCGTGAATATACTCAGCCCATGCCACCACTGGGGAAAAAATAAAAGACGAGTAATTCCTATGCAACCAACCT